GAACTCTGTTTCCAGAAACACCTGCATACACTTTACCTGGTTTAGATCCTTCAGGTAGTGGTCGTGTATTAGATTATGCAATCGCTTCGGCAGCAGTAGCTGTCCACTACCAGACAGTGAACCTCCTAGATTAGAACTTGGTGGTCCTGTTTAGATTTCACTTTTAATGTTCTTCAAGAAGCCCCATTATTAGCTCCTCAGTATGCCCCAATCTCTTCATCGCATTCAACTTCTGAAAATATATCTAAAGTGGATATTCCAACATTTGATCATACTTCATCATCAAAGGGCACTAAAAAAGATTTTATTGATGTTAGTGATATTGGCCTAACTGAAATATTCGTATCAGCATCTAATGGGTGGAATAAGCCAGGAAATTCTCAGGTACGTGCAGTTATTTTCTCTCTGCATAGAGTTTGTGCTTGTATCAATGATTTGTTTGACTTGTGACTGCAAGGATGTATAGAAAAAATCGTCTGACTGTTCACATACGACCTTAGAGACTGGATATTCTTTTTATCCTAATATTAACAACGGGAAAACCCAAACCGGTACACACGTAAATTCATACCCATTGAATAGATTAGTGTCGTTCTGAGTTAAATAGCTCAAGGGTAGCGCTTTAAAGTTTGTATTAAAGAATATGTGATTGAAGTCTCAATGTAAACACAAACATCGGATTATAAACACATTTGATTAATGATTCATAAATAGAACTGGGTGCGCGTCATCAATTTCATAGCTAAGCACAATCTTAACATTAAATCTTTTCAAGCGTTTTGCATAGTAAGTGGGTCAAGAGAATCTATGCCATACATATTACTTTGCCACCTTTGTTGTTTCTACTGTCTATTCTTTATTCATGATCTGGCCAGTAATAATTATAGTTCCAATGGCTGACTTGTTTTTCTTGTTTGAAATGCTGAGTGTATCAGCGTTTATCACTTGGTATTGGTAATCGAACACATAGGACTTCCATTTAGTTAATCCTCAATGAAAAATTTCGTCTATTGTTCTTTCCATCTTTAGTTTTCTAAATTTTCTATTGGTTGAAATTCAGTGCTTATACTCTTAACGTTTGTATTACTGTGGTACCTCTATTGGAAATTCCAACTTTCAATGACACTTATAACACAGAATCGGACGTATCTACATCGTCTTATTGCCTATATTTTAAAACGAGGAACCACTACAATTCTCATGGAGCAAATTAATAACACAAAGGTTTGGTATAAGTGAATAGTTATTCACTCCGAATACAACGACCGTGGCTGAATATATATATATTTGTAAATCAACCTGATTATTAGTATAAAAAAATTAAATATATGCAAATTACGCAGAACTACAAGTCATGGTGAACATAGTTCACTATAATCTAATACAAGAAATACCATATCTTGATCTAAATATCACACTGAAAATAAAACGAATATTATTCTGAGCATTTGTCTCATTGAATTTAAGAAAAACCATGATCTCATTTTTTTATCCCGTTGTGTCAGAGTCCAACTGTCGAACATACACAAAACGATTTTTCACAATATAACCGCTCAGGAATATAGATTACTAGTTCTTTTTGTCAGTGAACTTGATATGAAATACTTTATAAACCAAACACCATCTTTCTATTTATCAGATACGTTTGCGCGAAAAGCTCTATTGTTTAGTCAGTTGTTATGGACTTCCTCCTCAACAGTGTATCAGTGCTCCAAGAAGTCCTTCGGTAAGTGGTCATATAAATTTACATATTCGTTTAGTCTCTTTTCTTTCTCAAAATTTCCTTATAAGCAGTCGTAATTTAATGGGAATTCAACATATGCATAGGTAATAAAAAATTAGAGCGAAATGTTGGAGTACCAAAATTTGAAGGCACATAACTTTCAAAGACACCTCAATATTTGGACTGCATTTTTAACTTGTTACACAACTTCATGTTAGATATTAAACTGAGTTGTTCACGTGAATCGATCGCTGAGCGTTAACGAATCTCTGTTGTCTAGTCTCTAGTATTTGTTGAGTTCTATTGATCATTTTCATTACTTTGACAACTTCTATAATTATAAATAACGATACTACTTATTTACTCACTTGAGCAGACGAGTATGCATTCTCTATCTTCTCAAATAATTTTTTCTCTACTCATTCTTTGGGCATAAACTTATGAAGAAAGCACCCAACTTCCACAACAAATGAGTTTTAACTCAGTCTGTTCAACCGTATACTATGTTTACGGTTGCGTATAAATCATGGTTGTACAGTGCGATGGTGGTCATTAAAACAATTTCATCTGAGAATAAATCATTGAGTTAAAACACACTGATTTTTAAGTGATTCTCCACTATTTCTAAACGAAATCAGAATTTGTTACTTGAGAAATTTCGGAGAAGAAATATTTAGCCACGTGGATTTTATAGATTAGTTTAATGTGTGAATAGATTATTAGATTCCACCATAATGATCGTAAGGTAAACCAAGCTCGTCGTGCGACTTGAGGATTATAAACTAAATTGTGAGTGAAGTTACGGTGCTCAGTGATAAATACTTCTAAACTAGAATGAAGCAGCTGCTCAATTCTCTTTAGTGTTTAATGATTCTGCTGTTGATTTCAACTTCTCTTTGAAAAGTCTGTCTACATATTTAAAATTCTTTTCCTATTCAGTTAATTTTAATAGTAATAATAATCTCTTTTTCACTTGTTCGTACATGGATTCTTATATAATTAATTTGTTTTCCTCTCTTTCTATTTCATGAATAGGTTATATTCAGTCAATCTACTGAAACTTTAGATCCTCAATTAAGTATCCATTCCAGCAGTGAAACAACATCTGTAGTCGATATTAGTAATTCAGGTAAATACTTTTTGACTTGATATTTTCTTTGTTACATGTGTCCATTTTTTCATGTTGCCCTGATGGATGATTATGTATTCCATAAATTTTGAAACAGATTCTTTTGGGCAGTTTAAAAGTCCCCATAGAATATTCAGAAATGAAGAATATTTGAATGAACTCTTGTTTTCAATAACTTCATCATCAGGCTCTACAGTTGTAAGTCCATAATTGTAGGGCCTGATGATGAAGTGATTAAAAACAATTGTTCGCTCAAATATTCTTCATTTTTTGAAGATTGAAAATTTTATTCATCCTGTTGTGTAGTAAAGTGGATTCTTTTCTGTCCGTATTGTCTACGGTTCCCATATATTCAGTGTACAAATACCGTCTCATAAGAAGTGTGCATAATGTCATTAAGCTCATCACAAATACTTTCCACAAAAGTACAGATCAGTCAGCTACAACGTACAACCAGGCACATATATGCATCGGTCCAAGTCGCCATACCGCATTAGCACAGCAACATGAACACTGGATCCATATGTGTAGTTAAGTCAATGATGGTAATATATAAGAGAAAGATTGCATATAGAGATATAGTACAAGAAGAAGAAATTGGTTCGTAGAAAAAAAGGTATGAACCGATTTTAATCTCTTAGTTTAAGGGAAGACAGGGAGTGTATACACCCACGCCATTGTGATCGATTCTGAGCCATGTCACTAAGAGTCTCCAACCATTGGTTACGATTGTCACGCGGACCCCAACCAAGTAGTCTGCATCTACCAACATGGCTCAGACCAGAAGTTAGTGACTTCAAGCACTGATGTCACGTTTTGGTTTGGCCGCCCCTAACTTTCTTACAACCATCCCCTACACCGGTTAGCATTGCACGTCGTGGTAATCGGTGTTCAGGCATACGTAATACGTGGTCCAACCATCTCAGTCGATGAAGATTCACAACCTCATCAACTGATTTATCATCATCCCCTAATACCCTGCGTCTAACCTCATTAATACTGACCCGGTGATCCCAGGAGATGCCAGCAATATTTATAAGGTACCTGTGGTCAAATACTTGTAGCTCACGAGTATCTTCAACTCTTAATGGCCATGTTTCGCGTCCGTGAAGTACAAGCACACTTTTATATCATTTATTACATAATCAATGATAAGAAACACGTGCAAGTTGTTATCATCAATAATGTAAAGTGTAATGAAAACCAAACATTCGAAATATGTCACATAGCTGATCCATATGAATTATTGGTAAAGACAATAAACCCCTTAATACCACCATTATGAATGTTCCGAAATCACAGTTAGACTAAATAAATAATGAGGGAAGGCTAGGATGAAGAGTGCTTCTTAAGAATTTGTGACAAAAAATGTGCAACACCAAAAAGATCCACAGTTTAACCTATAATTAAGAAGGAACTACCAAGTGAACTTCTGCAAAACTCAGAAATATCTCATTGTCTCTCCGCTACTAACTACAAATCAATGGTGTGTTTACTTCTAACGTTGTTAATTAACTGAGGTTCTTCACTATCAAATCAATAGTAATAATCCTAGTGAACTTTATGATGAAAGAAATAAACAATAATTTGATATAGTTAACAAGAGATTCTCAATTGTATAAAACTACAAAATTTTGTCGAGAATAAAATGTTTGACAGAATTAATTAGTTACCTCTAATAACATTGTGCATAGTTTTCGAATAATAATTATAGGGCTGTATATTAGTATTGCAGGATGAGTAAGAATCATCTAGGTTAATTTTTAGTTTAATTGTACGAAATAATAACACCTGGTTATAAGAGTTTCCAGCTTCTTGATTTTGATATTTAGGACTTCAATTGATCAGTCTCTGTTGATATTCTTAGAAGATTGTCTCAGTAACTTAGTGGATAATGCGTTGGCGTCTAAAGCGATAGGTAGTGGGCTCAAACTAGTATAAAATCCCCATCCCGGATTCCAGTGATAACTGCTGTCCAATTTTACGGAAAGTAACAACAACTTTTGTCAACCTTAAAAGTTTTTTTTCGATTGTTGTAGAAAACGTAAGAGAAAATATATCCAAAGTAATTTACATGATTATCAGAATGAGTTTTGTGGAGATTTTTAGAAATTTCACAAGTTGAAATCATGAACCAATTGAAGCTAGACCGCCATGGAAAACCTGGAAGCACTGGACGGCCGTTTCGTCCTATTGTGGGACGAAACGGCCGTCCAGTGCTTCCAGGTTTTCCATGGTGGTCTAGCTTCAATTGGCTCATAATTTACATGAACTAATTTTCATTCTATTTATTATTATCACACCTTTTTGTTGCTAATTCTGTGTATTTTTTTATAGATGATATTCATTTAGATGATACAAGTAGTGGTGAACAGACTGCTGTGTTTCGTGATTTGGATACCTATTTAGATGCTCAGTTGATGAATATAAACTTTTTAGGTGTACCAGATTGTAGATTAGTAAGTTATTTTATGTATTCATATTTTCTATCGTACAATGGTATTGAGATATGGTTTAGACAGCGGTTGCCAGATAGTTGAGACTGTATTCATCAAACGAGAACATTATTAACAGAATAGATTCTTATAGAACTAGTCTGAACACTTCTAACTTTCTTAATATACATACTTCTGCTCAAGTAATGGAATATTATCATTATTCATCATACCATCAAGTGTGTTTTAAAGCCAAGTCTATGAACTTGTATTTGGTCAGTGCATAAATTTATGAACATTTAACTAACAACGTTTTTGTAGCTTTATTTCTACATTAATGTATCTACCGAATTGTGATGAAATGTAGATTTTCGACGGTGATGAAATCAATTAGTAAGATGGCTAAATAGTTTAAAAATTCTTGTTGATTCATAAAGAAAAGCACAAGAGTTCAGCGAGAAAGTCCGATTTTTAGTGGTATCGTCCCCAAGTTATACAACCACACTTAAGTATTATGTTCACCTGACAAAAAAGCAGGAAAAATTGCAAACCAAAAGTTATTTTGAAGAAAATTAGGTTTTTCAAAGAAATATCAGCGAGACAATTATGGTGTGATGGGAGAAGTTGTACCAGTAAGTTGAACGATGGATGGATATTTACAGCTTCATAAATAATATTGGGATGGAAGTCACTGTGCTAGTTAATACAATGTAATTTCAATGAAGTATTAAGTGGAAAAATGCTAATAGCTTGTTTAGTTGATGGATTGTAAAATCTTTGAATATTTTTTACGTATAATTATTCACTAACATGCAGATTATTTTGTTTTTATCTCCTTGTTAGGCGTCAACAAATGTGAGTTTAAATACTTCATATTTTACAGATTGGGTCTTATTATTGAGTCGGTTGTATGTTAAGTCCTATATTGCAGTTTGATAAATATGTTGAAATAACTGATTTCATTTGCAAAATAGCTTTTTTCAAAGTTCAAGTCTCAGTTCCGAGTTTCATTTTTGTTAGAGATTGAAAGATCTACTGTTGATTTCAGTAATTCACATAAAAATTCAATGTATGTTTTCGTCATAGAAGAAAACGTTAAGTTGAAAAGGATAATAAATAAATAGAATCATACAGAACTCTATACTATTGTGTATTGACTAACCGACTATGAAATATCAAACAAACAGGAAATCTTGTATAAATGTTCACCAGTTCAATATACTGCACAGTTCGGAAGGAAGAAAACCAATCGATCAACACAGAAACACATTAAGTTGAACAATAAAATAATGATGAATGTACTCATCATATAAAACTTAGGGTTATGAAATGTTTAAAGTTTTGAAGGCGATCAATAGCAAATGGATTTGTATTATCATCATCTCATCTCAAAAATTTTGATACAGTTCAAAAACCTACATAATATGTTTCTAACATGATCAACTTTAAGAGGTTTTGAAGGTAACTTAGGTTACAAATACTCAGTAAAAATACTATCCCACATATAGTTGTTTTTAACCTTAAAGTTTCTCATAATGATTTTTAGTATTTGAAAATGAAATCGTAGACTTCCACTTTAAGTATAGAATTTAAACGGTTAACATATCTTAATAGTTCCTTTATTTGTTAACTCGTTAAGTAATATATCTTGTCCATTGGTCTTATTTATACTTGACTACCATCTCTAAGATGTTAGCTGGCAGATGAACGTACTCACACTTTCAAACGACGCTTTTCATTTTATCCACTAAAGTACGCTAAAATCACTTTCCATATGAGTTTGATAATTTTATTGTTGATTCTGATAATAATGTAGATTTTCCATGTGAAATGTTTTGTGTTTTATATTCAACAGAGTTCTACAAAATGTTTACATATCTACAGCTTTGTTGTGTAAATTCCTACCAATAACTACTAGTTTGTGTCCTTTAAAACCCATCCATCTAATCCTGTTGGATCACATAAGCTAGTCCTTACACTAAATGAACTGAAAACTTGTGTTCTGAATTTCGGTGCATAAGAATAAAACAATTGATTCAAGTAGTACTAACCAATGTCATTTCTCTAATGCTTAATGATTGGATTTAATTAATCAAATGGCAGTGTGACCACCAACTACTTGACATTTCAGTTCATTTTGTTTGATATCAAAGGTTTGAAGGAAGTCGATTAATGAAAATATCTTCATCCTACAGGAAATTAATCGCGGCTCGAATAACACAGTGATAACATTTACTACTGCAGTGCGCGGAATGTCAAGTCCCTCAAGATTGTAGATATGTCTTTCTGACAAGTACCAACTTACTCCAAAATTAGGCTCAACCATTCTTCCCATCTAAATGGTATCGATTGCCGGTCGTCCCAATCTATAAGAAAGAAAAAAAATCCTCTTGTGATAATCACAGGAGAATCAGTTTCACTAGTATAATGTCTAAAATATTAGCCTCAATAGTGCTTCGACGTTTAACTAGAACCCGAAGAAACCAGGCTGGTTTCAGACCTTGACGTGGACTAAATAATACCCCTTCAGAAGGTCGTAGACGTACTTTTTGACGTCCTACTATAATTGTATTTCTTGACCCTTAGGCGTTGTTTGGCTCTGTTGATGGAGAAGTTTTTTCGTGCCTGTTAATAAAAGGCTTTCTTATGGCGCACATTAGCTTCTCTGCTCGAACACTGCTGGTAGAATCAGAGCTTGTCAGTCAGTCAGTCACCTACAACGTAGGACCAGGCACATATGTGCATCGGTCCAGGTTGCCATACCTCATTAGCACAACAAGATGAACACCGGATTCATAGGAGTGGTTAGGTCAAAGGTTGCAATAAGGATATAGTATAGGAAGGAAGAATTAGTTCGTAGAAAGAAAGATATGAAGTGATTTAATCTCTTAGTTTAAGGGAAGACAGGGAGTGTATACACCGACGCCATTGTGATCGATTCTGAGCCATGTCACCAAGAGTCTCCAACCATTGGTTACGAAAGTCACGCGGACCCCAACCAAGTAGTCTGCATCTACCAACATGGCTCAGACTAGAAGTTAGTGACTTCAAGCACTGATGCCACGTTTTGGTTTGGCCGCCCCTAACTTTCTTACAACCATCCCCTACACCGGTTAGCATTGCACGTCGTGGTAATCGGTGTTCAGGCATACGTAATACGTGGTCCAACCATCTCAGTCGATGAAGATTCACAACCTCATCAACTGATTTATCATCATCCCCTAATACCCTGCGTCTAACCTCATTAATACTGACCCGGTGATCCCAGGAGATGCCAGCAATATTTCTAAGGCATCTGTGGTCAAATACTTGTAGCTTACGAGTGTCTTCTACTCTTAAAGGCCATGTTTCGCTGCCGTAAAGTAAGACAGAACGGACTGCCGCGCAGTATACTCGTCCTTTTATTGATAGACGGATATCTCGCCTCCGCCAAAGGTGACGTAAGTTGGCAAAAGCCAAACGAGCTTTTCGAATCCGTGCTGAGATTTCGTCAGACACCAACCCATTAGGGCTGATCAGACTTCCAAGATAAGTGAAGTTGTCGACGCGTTCGACTACTTCACTCCCTATCCTTAGTTCAGGTGTTGACGCACACCAGTCCTGAAGCAACAACTTGCATTTAGAGGGAGAGAAGCGCATCCCAAACATTCTGGCATTGTTGCTTAGTGCTACCAGAAGACTCTGCATTTTGTCAGCGTCTTCACCAAACAGGACTATATCATCTGCGTATTCTAAGTCGATAAGTGGACCTCCTGGAAGGAGATCAATACCCGAGAATTCAGTCGACGAGAGTGTTATTTCCATCAATAGGTCTATGATGAAGTTAAACAAAAATGGAGAAAGTGGACAGCCTTGACGGACACCACTTGAAGTTGCAAAAGTAGATGACAGTTCGCCATAAGCTCTGACTCGACTAGTAGTGTTCGAGTAAAGAGCCTTCACAAGGTTTATGTACTTCTGAGGTACGCCTTTCAATGACAGACACTGCCACAGAGTCTCGCGGTCTACAGAGTCAAACGCTGCTTTTAAGTCAAGAAAGACCACCATCGTCGGACGCCGATAGGTATAATCAGAGCTTGTGGCCAACTGTCATCGGAATCGGTTACTCCAATAAATGTTCCTTAGGGTTTTCCGCGTTCTTCATTCTAATTTAACCTTGTGATTGACATCATTTTAGAGATAACACCTTTATTGTCTGACTTCCCAGGGGTGATCTACCAAGAGATTCATTTGTTCACTGAAGGTATGCCGATGATTGACTCATGAGTCAAATTAATAGTTAACAACTTATAACATTGATGACCAAATTTACTCTCACTACTCTATATAATCCGATGTAGACAATAACAGCTTTTTTAATACAAACTACTGGTAATCTACAGTGGTTCGGTAATACACTAAAGAAAATAATATATTACTTCACCCAAGGTCCAAGGTATAAAGTGATTACAGTGTTTTGTAGCATCATTAGAAGGACTAGGTGTTTTGGAGACATGGGCAGTTATATTTATGTCACCCCATACTTTGCCTTTAACTAACTGACCAGCTGGTGTTTTTGATTGTCACTTAACCGTTTGCAATATATTTTGATCATAAAAATAGTTTTTTATTTCCGTAGAAATCTTTTCGTTTGTTTACCCTATTTCTCACTGTACATATCTTCGTGTTTTTATGTCTATCTTTTTATTTTCTCTTTGTATTTTAGGCTTCCATGAGTGTAAGTCCAATGATAATCTTCCTGTTTAAAAACATCTAGGTTGTTTAATATACAGAAAGATTAAGTTCATCCTCATTACTTCAATACATGTAGACTACTCCTATATCATGATTACTCTTCAACCATACATTTCTATTCGCTAAAGTGGTTCGTGGTGGTAAATTTAATTTGAAGTTAATTTTCATCACAAACTATTATCAGTTGGTGATGCATCACAAGCAAGGAAGTATTGCCCTATTTCGAGACTCAACAGCGCACAATTATGATATTATATAGGATCGAACCCATAACCGTCATATAGAGATCAAGACACTGTATACAATGGTCGATACTCTAAACTTCAATAAATTTTCCAGATCTAGTGATCCTCATCCGATATTGATGATTAGTCATGGACCCAATCTTTGCCCCTAGTTGACTTTGCAGATCATTACTCCTCACTTAGAGCCCTGTCATTTTTATCAAATTTAGTAAATCATGTTTGACAGATTTATGAATATTTATTCAATGCAACCTAAAGGTCCTTGGTTGAATTTCATCAAGTTTCTCATCAACAGACTCGTTTCATCTAGCCAGTGTTGGAACAGTATTCATTTTCTCCACAATCATTCATATTAAATTTGACTGGAACCTATTTAACGCGTAATGCTTGGTTGAAATTTTTATTATTTTTGTTGTTCACTGCTTTTTAGGAGGAAGAACCTAGACGTCCTTGGGGTGTACGAGGCCAAGCAATTACATGTCATTTCGATTTTAATGGAGATGGAAATGAATCAGTTAATAATGAGTCTGTCGGTGGCTTATCTCGAACTGTACAATCGTTGGAGAAAACAACTAGTAGTTTGGCACATAGTATCACAGAATCGGATTATTTTACAGCTGCTTATCAACATCATCATCACCACTCAGAAAAGCAGCATCAAAATAGAACACATTCATTGCCACATTTAACATGTGTTACTAATAGTCTAAGTGATGTGAAAGATACAGAATCTAATAGTTCGAGTACAAATCGATATTCAACGATAACAATTAGTAATAATTATACAGATGATAACATAGATGGCAAATATTCAGCAGCATCATACAGTGAAGAACAACAACAACAACAACCACTACTACCACAGTTGGAATACAAAAATCCATCAACTTCACTTGCCTGGCAATCATTCGCTGAGGAACAGTCAAATTTTAGGATTAATGATTTGATGAATGATGAGTTTACTGGAAAAGAAAAGTTTAATAAAGGTATACAGGTAGTGAAGTATCCACTTGTTACCGTACGCAATTCACGTAGTGAACGTGTAACATTTAATCTTGATGGTGATAAAAATCAACATGATAATGATGAGGTCGGCAGGCAGGATGATGTTCATCGAAAAAATAAGATATCTATGGACGATGGTATAGAGAAAATCAATGATCGATGCATGTCAAAAACGTGTAAGGGAATCCTAATCAATCGCACAAATCATGATTATGTTAAGGGACTACATAATGGATTGCTACTGTCCGATACTGTGCTTGCTAATAATTCTCGAGTACGATCCGCGTCAACACAATCACTCAATAATGATGGGAATTACAATGAAACTAATAATTCAGATCAAAATTTAAGGTCACGTATATATTTTCCTCGATGTCTGTCATCTAATCGTAATGAAGTAGGTACAAAATATATAAATCATGACAGATTGACAGATGAACCTGAACAAACAGTTGATAATCACCATTATCATGATCATTTTTCTGTGAATATTCCACAAAAACTTTTGGCTGGACAAATCAAACGTAGTGTATCAACATCTGAATTATTATTGACTAGACAACATTTTACATTGAATAATAAACCAAATGATTACAAATCTTTAATTAATTCTGTAGTGTTGTCACCGTTAACATATCAAAATAAAGTTAGTTATCATGTAAATGACAAATATTTTACTAGCTTCTCTTCATCTTTATCATCGACAAGGTCACTGTCGCCAGTGAATCATCACAGCCGATTCGAACAAACGGCGTTTAATTTAATTAGTACAAATGACAAAGATAATTTGAACACTAATAATAATAATAATAATAATAATAATAATAATAATAATAATAATAATAATAATAATAATAATAATAATAATAATAATAATAATAATAATAATAACAATAATAATAATAATAATGCTGATTTATCAAAAATCATTTCATATCGACCAAATTTACCTTGTTCTTCTTCCGTATTGCCTCAATCGATTCCACTTTCATTATCACCAACATTAACAGCACCATCTGTACATAGTTCTCATTTATCACTTCATTGTATTGAAATTATTCGAAAATCCAGTGATCTCCCTGTTATCCATAGAAAGCATAAAGCAACAAGTGATTCACATTTGAATTGCTTTAATAAACAGTTATTGTGCCATCATCAAGAACTTCATCAATCAAATAGTCATCATCGGTGTTATCATTTTTCATGTGTTAATGAAAGCACTCATAATGATGATTCTTCTGAGTGTACTTCTTTGAACAAAATCGTATCAGTTCAACCAATACAAAGATTATGCAATTGGAAGTATCCAGTAAGTCATATATATCGTTCTTACATTTACAATACGATCTATTTCCGAATGTCAGGTCTATCGCATAGATATTTAAAAGTCATTTGATCTTAATAAACTGTTTACTTTGTAATTTGGAGTTGAACAAACTTGGTACATGTTTGTCAAAAGCCAGCATTATTCTGATAATGCAATTAATAAAATTATTGTTGTCACATTCACTTCAATAAGATTCATCTTTCACTATTATGTTTTTATTAAAAGAAAACTTTAATTATTTCGGTTGTCTTATCGTAAAATTTGTATACCGCATACAAGTATGAAAAAATCTTTTACCATTGTTTAATTTGTTTCTAAGTTTTAAAGAATGGTGGCTTAGTTTAGATAAAGCACTTTGTTTTGGACAGTAGGGTAGCATGTACTCCCTTCATTTTTTTTAGCCGGTTAGTACCATCACCTATTAAAGTCAGATTCTATGAGCACATGAAAATAATTAGCTTAAATCAGTGCATTACTTACACTCATGAATATTACAATTTTATTTGATTCAAGTCGTTTATTTTGTAATTGGGATTTAAGAATTTTAATCATAATAAAGTTATAACACTATCTAATTATGTTATTTTGCGAGATCAAACAATATTGTGTATATCAACTTATTTAGCTAATTACTCAACAAAAATGGATTGCATTAGAACCATTATTGAACTCAACCTGTTTACACTTCGATGAACAACAAAAGTTAATATCGCTACTGATGGGACTTCCACAATTGTATCAGGAGATAATTTCACGCTATATTAATGCTGTTAACGATACGATCGATTTGTCTGTTTGTTGTTGGACTGAATCAAGCCGATTGAATTGTTTAGGTGAGTTTTACTCTCTGTTTTTAATAGTCAGATTCGTGTAAATCATTCATCTTTATGTAATGTATACTGCATTAATATTTACGTTTGTTTGTAAAACTGTAAAATTTGAAATCGTTTCTCATCACGAACTGATGACAGCTGGATGACCATCGAAAGATAGGAAATACTAAAATCCCTTGTCATCCTAGTTAGGGACTCCGCAATATACACCTACAGTCCGTCTGCACATCCAAGTTCATTACTTGTGCTCTGGTAATTCGTTTTGCATGCTGACTTGACGTCACCTGATTATTTAAAATCAGATAAGTTGTGCATAATTCTTCAAATAAATATATAAATGTTATCCTCTTTTTAATGCAAATATCTTTCTAATTTTCTGTAGCGAAATTAGTCGAAAAAATCAAAACCTATTTGAGACCACCCTGGTTTTTTTGTCGTTTATGTCAGGTAAATCCTAATTGTATCTTACGGAATGCTTTTTTCTAAAATATCATTGCTTTTTTAAGCATAGTGTAAATTTTTTATTAAATGAGAGTAGAATCATTACTGACTACTTTGGTTTTACACTTCAATCTAATTTCAAGCTTTTAAATTTTCTACACATAGATCGTCCAGTTGACAAAAGAATGAGTATTTATGGTTTGTTGGCTTAGAAAAGAGTAAATTAAGTGGTAAAGTGCTTAAAGCTAATATTATATGGTGAAGTTTGGGAACATTCTCAATCAACTATTGTTTCCAATAATGCTTACTTTCTTAAATCAGAATAGCTCAAAAAATCACAATATAGCTTTATTCATATTGCTCAACTGCCATATTTACAACGGGTGTCTATGGTTCGAAACACGTAATCTATCGTTACAGAGGAAAGTAACTGTCAACTCGAATACTACTTTCGAATATTAATTGTTTTTAATAAACAAAATCAACTAACCCATATATTACACTGACTGCGCATTGTGTTGTGAAAAACAAACGATAACTGACCGAAATCGGCCACCGGTTATACATCTATGTGTTAACATGTTACTCCGTTCAAGATAGTATTTTAAAACACGCTTTGTATATGTGTTGGTTGGTCAATGAACATACTGAATTATGAGCTATAAATTTCTAATACTTTATTAGCATTGATAAGATCCAGTAATTACTTGTTTATAAATGTGTGAGTAGCTGTTATAAATTGATTACATCGTTCACTTTTATTTTCCATGCCGTGATGCTAATCTTTTACATCATTTATGTTCATTCATATTATACCTGTGGTCTGTAATTTCCATTTATTCAAATGACACGACTTCCTAAATTTTACGTCAGAAAGAATAACACTATTATCTTGCATTGTAATTGAACTTCTTGTGTAGAAGTGTACGGTTTGTAATCAATTTCACTGTCATAGAAAAGAAATAAGTTTCTGGACCATTTTTTGTGATTCTTTGTTATATTATCGTTATAGTATAGTGAACAAAGTGGTCAGGTGAGGGAAACCAATTCATTGTTCCATGTAAAATTAGTGTTTTCGTAAAATATGGAAACCATAAGTCGAATGCATAATTTTCACAACTTCCATTAGTTGTAATTTACAGACTTCATGATTCTTTCAATTCCTTTGTTATTACAAGTACTTAATGTTTTGTTCAATAGAATCTTCCTAATCTTCTGCAGGCGTGCATTCCACTTCCGACTAGTGCTACATACTACTTATATCTGTCAACATAAGTAGCCTACGCCATAATAGCTCATAACCAATATTTCAGATCCCCTTGAAATATCCACTTTTTCATTTAACTTGTTAAAGACATCATTTTAATGCCAGTTTAGACGATATACTGGTCACTTCACTTCGGTAGTAATGAACGTTTTCGTAATATTATGGATTTTAGTTAGGTGCTTTCATGACTCCTCATTCGAATAATCTTTTCCCTCTCCATAGTTATTCGTTGTGTAGTATTTTGATGCAATATGCATTTGTGGCAGATTTTACATCGATGACTGACTAACTTCTTGACATTTACGAAATGTTCATATCTCTGACACCAGTATTCCGACACCATAAAATAATATGGGTGTAAATGTTATTAAGTCAATCTCATGACTATTAAATCTTTATCATTGCAAATATTCTTTTTTGCTAAGGATTTCATATTCGACCGGTACTTGAAATTGTAATATTTCAAATATAGTTTACCAAAGGAAATTTCACATGTTAATATACGCTATAATGAATTTCTATATTCATCATGATTACTCATTCCTGTTTTACTTCAGGATGATCTTACTGAGACGGTTCATTCTTATTTAATAAGTAACATGATTCATTTATTGGAAAAACACCAAGGAATCCAAAATCAATTTGAAAAACTTTATAATGTAAGTTTAAATTCTTTATTGCAACCGCAATTTCAAAATAGGAATTATTATTGTAGCAACTTGAGTAGGCAACATAGAAATGTTTAATGATAATTTAATACCTTTAGTATTGTGGTATCAACCTTCTTTCCAATAAGAAAATACTTTTTCTGATTTTTGCGTTTTGTAAATACGTCATGTGAAAGTGTTATACACTAGCCTGCTTGTCTATGACTATTATTGTTGATTATGTTACTATAGAAGGTAAATGAATTCTCCTTTTTTAAACTGAGTGATAAAGAATTATCAGAGACTAAGTATTGTTGACATCAGTTTGAAATTTGTATGTTTTGCTAAGAACTACTGTAGTTTCTGAAATCTTGAAGGCTTTGACATAGTTTGAATTGCTCATACTCCAAAACTTTTAATTAAAGAACAAAATCTGATACATTTATCGTCATTTATTAGAAGGTACGAACCCGACAGACTGAGGGCAAATAATCAGTGTTAAGAATCAAGAAAAGTTGTTAAACATCCTAGTTTAGTTTTACATGACTTGCAGGTCAATATAAACATTATTGTAAGTAACTATACACTCAGTATAATATTAACAGGTTACTATTAATAGATGTACCCCATGGAGCTGGTCACAGTTAATCTTAATCTACCTACGCCAAGGTTCTGTGATTTATTGACAGGGAAAATGAGCTTATAAGAAATACTAGTGGTCCTCTAAGAAAACCACCTGTGTACCCGGGCGGTACCACAGCCCTCACATGAATCAATGGTAACTGCTACTGACCTCATTGTTATTGTGTGGTATTTATGTATTTGGTGCCCCTGTACCGATGTTTATGTGTTCAAATAAATAAACAAAGTAATTAAAACACATGTAGGGACCCACTGATAATCTGTGTAAGCATGGTACATAATCCACAGTTAATTCTTGATAACTATCGCTATCTAAAACCCGATTGTCTAGGAATTGTAGCGTGATTTAACTATTCCTTTTAAGTACCCGTGACGATTGTAGTTTTTATTTGATACTCACTTTCCTCCTGTTTATTTTGCTCGTTTTAACAGCTATTACAATCTGAAAATACCAGAGACACATTTATCCAACTATTCTGTAATATGTTCACTAACTTAATAGAATTTGTGAAATATTCATATGCTAGTGTTGAAACCATTTATGCTAATTTATCCAAGTTGAAGAAAAATGAAATCCTATTACCTGCAATACTGGATCGATCTTGTCGTTTCCAATATTTACTAAAGTGTGTTCTATTAGGTCTAGATTTGACCAGTGATATCAATAATCATGATGATAACAGTGACGTACCTATCAAACTAGCTATTTGCAATGAACCCGCTGCTTTAAAAAATCAACTATGTGAATTCCTAGCAAACATGCTGACAAGTTTTCCAAACGATGAATTACTAACCGGGTCCAATAATTTTAATCCAGAAAATTGTAAACAAGTAATTAGATTATATAAACAATTATCACATAAGTCCCCAGATGAGTAAGTGAAAGTTTCTTATTTATCCGCCTACAGAATTAATCCATACTAAGTTTATTTAATTTCCTAAATTATTTTGAATGAGGATAACGATGCATCATAAATTGACTGAAGTCGAAAGTGATGATCACTGGGTTCCGACTTATCATTCTAAAGATATCATCCTGGTCAGGGGACCTGGACGCTGTTATTTCGATCTCATGCTTGAACATTGGTAGAGTCCCTAACTATGGCATAACATCGGTCTGTACTTGCAATGATCGATCATGTGGTCAACATTCGATTTCGTGTTTGAATAGTTCTGATCGAGTTCTATCTATCAAGTTGCAGTGTCCCTCTAGTCTAAATCAATCAACATATGCACTTTTTATTTTAGATGGTTGTAGAGAGTAGAGAGAAAACTCTGGGGCCAGGTTTTGTAGTGGTTGAGACTTCTCAGCTATGGCCACCTATTATCTTCGGAAAACTGATCTCTGTGACACTAATCCGCATCACCCGACCCTATTGTTCAAAACATTGCCGCTGAACTATCAGAACCATAGTTGACCTCCCGTAGGAAACTACCAGTTTTGGGAAAAAAGGATGATAACATGACTTCGTAAGGTACTGAAGTTGTCAAATCTATGACCATATCGATTCCCCATACAACTGATTTATACCTCTGGATGAAAAGTTAATATACATATTGACCATTCGATTATTTGCTTATGAAGCTTTTTAATGTTACAGATCAGAAGTACCGATTGATATCGTGATCAATATACTGAATATTTTTGCAAATTATGTCTGGGAAAGGGACTCCACTTCATGTAAGTTGACGTTCAGATGCACACTTCGACTTTATTTTGATATATGAATTGTAGCATTATTCACTGTTTATTTTGCACTATATTTTAATTGTCATGAAGTTTTACAGCTCCGTTTGGCTTTACATCTAAGACGCTGTTCTTACTGCATTGAAAACCTTCCAATTATACTTGAGTTCTATTGTATTAGTTTTTGTGACAAAAACCAAACAATATCCTTTTCCTAATTGACTAAACTAGTAAAATAGTCCCACCAAAAGGGGGTTGTTGCAATGTCTATTAATTTTTAAAAAACCCTTTAGTCGTTAGTTGTGTATGCATAACATTCATTACCAGAAATTTACTCTGAGTCATTTATTTTCAGAGATAGTATATATAGTATTTTATAAGTTCAAGTATTCCGAAATAGAATGAATCCATCTTATGAATGTCTAACCCCAGTTGCTAATAATTTGATGTATTGCACTTTGCCCGTCCAACAACTCAGCCCTGATGATTTATTTTACAAAATATTTTAGCTTTCTTTTAGATATACTTCGTAGTGGAAATGCGATTTCGTAAACACGTTTTACTATGTTCTAAGCAAATTTTTGCAATATTCCTAGTCTGATGCATTGTGAAACCGATATGTTAAAATGGGAGATTGTAGTGTTTGAAAGTAGAACGCTCTTCTAATAAAAACTGACCAACAAGATAGCTGAATTCTATTCATACCAAGCAGCAGAACTTGTTTACATAATGAAACACATTATTGGTGAAATCTGAAGCATGCGGTATTCATCTTTTTTCGACTTACCTTAGGATGAATCGTTTTTTAATACAGTTGACGTCTAACCTTTCATTCTAATCTTTTGAGTAGCCCGTCATAAATAAATCTAGCCAGTAGGTATTTGCTAACAACCAGTAAGAAACTGTTGGCCAATGTTCTGAACTGCTATTTAGCAGTACATTTTGTTTACATACAAATCTAAATAGTTTGCTTTTTTGTTTAGATATTGCATATCTTCCGTTACCGGCACTTGACAAAGACATAAACGACCAACTAGATACTACCAATTACTTCGCTTATTTAACTGAAAGCCTACACCACCTCGTATTAAATGATAATGTTAATGATGATAAATTATGTTGACTAACACACCAGTGTTGTTTTTTTCAATTTTATTTTGTGATTACACGAGAAAAATTCAGTGCTGAAATTTTCCCCAGCTTACGATCAATACAATTTCGCATACACAGTACAAAATATACGATAAATTTGGACGGATATTTTTTGTACAAACAACTATGTTTTCAAATCTATTTAAAAGAAAGAACTAAATTTTCTGAATATATTCCTTTCCTAGTTCTTTTCACTGAGATAAGACGTAATTAACTTCCATCCAATATTTCACTTTATTATTATGTGTATTTCCTTACAGTGTATAAAATAACACACTATGCTTTTTTGATTTACTTGGTTTTATATGTAAATTTTGTTCAGAAAAGTGCGGTTAGTTAAACCTTAGTTTTGTAGTGTACTAAATCGAACAATATTTGACAGTATATTTACAATAAGATGTTTTACATCTTATAATGTCATGATGATAGATTTATAGTGATGGCTGTCCAAGTTAGAACCTATTGAAATTCGTCCTTAGAAGTAAGTAATCCGACCAGCTTTCTAAGCGCAGTTTGGAAATATGTAGTCTTAATACCTTAAATGAATTAATATACAACCAGTTGTAAACAAGGTTCCTCTAGACTATACAAATAAACTTAACAGAAGTCCTTTCTAGAACAAGTGAAGTATTTACTACGTAGTTAATGATATAGAATCTCAATATACAGCTTCCAAAAATGCTTTGAGCAGTTTCAAGTCTTATGACCGCAAACGAAACACACTTATTGTTGTACTCAAACAGCAACAGGTCTTGGATTTGAGCGAATATTCTTATTCATATAAATGAGGAATATAATAATGACACACTTGTGTCTGTAGTCTGTAACGTACGTTCATGTATACGATAGCTTTAAAGATACTTAGAAGCGTGTTTTCCCAGTCATTCTCAGTGGTTGCGCAAGTGACGAAGATATACGACCCAAAATCAACCATCACCTAACCAGTAGACGTTTAACGTGCACATCTCAACTACACATGACACTTTCATTAAGGTAAAAGCGGTTACCATTATCAGTAACTGTTGTCTCTATATCATTGCATGCTTTAATACACTGACCATATTGAAGCTTTTGTTTCTTATACGAACAGTAAAACTATTCCAAATTGGAAAGTAAGATCCATTAGCAGTTTCTCCTATGGATAGCTCCGAATGCTCTAATGGTATATTTGTGCTTTTTTATACTATCGTAATACTTTTGTATGACGTACAACTGAATATTAATTTGATACACCGAAGAATGAATTTTAAAACGCCCAGGATTGAAAATTCCAATAATTCCTCGCGCTTTATTGAAAACGGGCTTATAAATAGTCACTGAACCAGTGCCAATAGTCCACTCAACCAACTAAAATAATATGTTTTCAAGGATATGACAAACGCATATACTTAGGAAATGTATGGAGAGCTACTTGAAAAAGATGAACTGAAAACTGATTAACCTTTAAAACGAATGAGATTGTACTTTAATGTCGCCAATTCCTTTCAGATAACTGTAAATAAAAATGTGTAATCATTTGGGAATGAGGTTTCCTAAGTTTAAATAAATCTCGATTTTATGACGTGGAACACGACACAAGGAAGGGCTGGCGCTCACTAGTGATAACTTTCTGATTTTGTAAAAAAATTCCTTGACCATCACAACCCGGTTAAAGCACCGGAAATTCCCTTCTTGTCTTCTGAATTTTGTAAACAACACGCCCGTCACGAGAAGGCAGTGAGTAAGACTTCCCTGGCAATGGCTGTATACGCGTAGCCATGTGAGAATATTTTGTGAGGGAGAGCGGACTCTCCTCACCCTCGGCGGTACCTGGGCATCCGGGAGCCTCTCATCAGTATCCTTACACTCTAAAAGAAACCAGTAACAGATTGGTGAGAAAGAATCCTTAAATTTAAAATATTTAACGCATTTACACTGTGCCAACTTTCACAATTTAGTTATGAATTCGTATGTAAGGACAACTTTTAGTCCTAAAACATGAAGAATAAAATTTAGTTTGTATTTCAGGAGAGCATTTGTAAATACAAAGACATGAACTAGTTTCTTTTCCGACGTCCTTTTTTACGTCTTAAACGCTTCAGCTGTTTCTTCTTTTTCTAAATTTCAATCGTTAATTATAACAACAAACCTCACCTTTGTTGGGGGCGGTTTATATTCCAATTCTTCATCCGACTACGTTTTTTTTAAAATGTGTATACAAGATTAGCAGAAATATATTTATTGATTTACTACAAGTTAACAAAGTCTAAATACATCACCTGAATGTTGGTTATCACAAAGGGAAGAGGACTACTAATAATACGTGACTGTGATACTAGTTATCAAAAATATAAATGACGCTTTAACTGGACACTGATATCAAAGTAGCAACCGACCAGTAGACCAAATGGTAAATTATTTAGGGAATAAGGCTGAAAAACAGTCGACACGGGTCGTTTTTGATTGCTGATTATTAGTCATATTTAAACACAAGTACTGATACAAATGGGCACCAAAAGCATTATACACCACGCAATAGAGTAAATGAAACTTTAAAGAGGCAGACGACTTACGCCTGTTAACCATCGTAGAGGACGAGCATAGGTCGCTCACCAGCATTCTCCAACGAACACTGTCCTGGGCCATCCTTTCCAGTTGCCATTCGTCCTTTTCATGTCTGCTTCAGATTCCCCATGCACTGTGTTATTTGGCCTCCGTCTTTTTCGTTTCGCCTCAGGATTTCAAGTAAGTGCTTGCCTCGTGATGCAGTTTGATTATTTCCTCAATGTGTGTCCTATCCACTTCCAACATCTTTTCCTAATTTCCTCCTCAGCTGGAAGTTAGTTTGTTCTCTCCCACAGTAGACTGTTGCTGATGGTATCCGGTCATCGGACATTGAGTATTATGCGTAGACAACTGTCCATACATATCTGTACCTTTTTGATGATGGTTGTAGTAGTTCTCCACGTTTCAGCTCCGTACAGTAGGACTGTCCTGACGTTCGTATTGAAGATTCTGACTTTGATATTAGTTGACAGTTGTTTTGAGTCCCATATGTTCTTCAAATGTAGGAATGCTGTCCTTGCTTTGCCAATCCTTGCCTTAACATCTGCATCCAATCCTCCCTGTTCATCGATGATGCTACCCAGGTACATGAAAGATTCCACATCTTCTGTATCAAGTGTTATTGGGTTGGTGTTCTTAATGTTGTATTTGAGGATCTTGTTTATGTTGAGACCTGCTGATGTAGAGGCAGCTGCTACACTGTTTATCTCGACCTGAATTTCCTGGTATGTATGGGATAGAAGAGTTAGGTTGTCTGTGAAGTCCGAATCGTCTAGTTGCATCCAAGCTGTCCATTGTATTCTGTGCATCCCCTCTAATGTGGAGGTCTTCATAATCCAGTCAACCACCAGAAGAGAAAGGGGGAGAGTAGGCAGCCTTATCTGACTCCGGCCCTCGCTTGGAATCCATCTGCCCCCAAACGCCCTGGTATGGCCGAGAGCGGGGTGGGTTCGCCCTCCCTCTCGAAATACTCTCACACGGCCACGTGTATACAGCCTCTGCCAGGGAAGTCCTACTCACTGCCTTCTCGTGGCGGGCGTGTTGTTTACGAAAATGAGAGGACGAAAAGCGAATGTCCGGCGCTTTAACTGGATTCCAAACCAATGGTGCACATGGGCACCAGTATCCTGCGGGAACAAATGGCGTATGAACCAATTTTCGGTCACCGGCTACCATGGGACTGCATCTCCTTACGATGCTCCACTGCCTTGTGGGTTAGACCTTTAGGTCAAAAGCTCGGGGTGTGGCCCCCTAAGATAACCACCTGCTTCGGTCTGGGCACCCGGGCAGTAGCGCAGCCCACACGCAATTAATGAACTGAAATTGTGTGGCGCATATATGTTTGGCGCACTCCTGTACCAATATATATGTGTTCAAGTAGTAGTAGTTGGAATCCATCTGTCAGCTGTCTTCCGCGCACGACTTCGCAGTGTATTTCATCGTATGAATTCCGGATGTTGATGATTTTCTTACGTACTCCATAATGTTGAAGAAGTTTCTACAATATTCTCCTACCCACTGTCAAATACTTTCTTAAAGCCAATGAAGTTGATACATAATGACGAGTTCCACTTAATCGATTGTTCGACGATGGTCCGTAGTGTCGCGATCTGGTCTATGAACGACCGATCCTTACGGAATCCAGCCTGTTGATCTCGAAGTTGGGTGTCTAGTGAGTCTTTCATTTAGTTCAGCAACACTCTGTCCAAAACCTTTCATGGTATTGACAGTAGTGTGATGCCTCTGTAGTTTTAACATTCGCTCAGATCTCCATTATTTGGTATCTTGATGAATTATCCTTCTTTCCAGTCCCCCAAAATCTTCCTAAATAGAACGTGAAGAATGTTTGCAACTGCTTCTATGTCTGATTCCAGAGTTGCGGCTGGTATATTATCAGGTACTGCTGCTTTCACACTTTTGATTTGTCCCATAGCCATCCTGCTTTCATCGATCGTTGGTGGAGTGACATCTGTAGGTGCTGCTTCGATTTCCGGTTAAGTGGATGGAGCTGTTCTATTCAAGAGTTCCTCGAAGTGTTCCTCTATCCTTTCAGTGATTGTCTTGCCTTCTTTGTCCTTGGCAGTTCTCTCTGGTTTACCATATTTCCCTGCTAGTTTCTTCGTCGTGTCACCTAGTTGTTTTATATTTCCTTCTCTTGCAGCTTTTTCCGCTGTCATCCTCCATGTATTTCTGCTTGTCGGCTCTAATGCTCTTATTCATTCGCTTGTTTGCTTCTGTGTATTCAGTTTGTGCCTTGATTTTCTGTTCTCGTTAGGCTTTTGTGAATTGCTGTCTTCTTGTTCTTGCTCTCTTGAATCTTATTCAGGGTTTCGATGGAGATCTACTCCTCATGATGATGCTTGTTGTGGCCCAGAACCTCCTGACACGTTGAAGTTATTGCTTCTTTGATCCCTTTCCAGTTGTCCTTCATAGTAGTTTCTTCTTTCAGTAGATCCTGTAAGGCTTGGAACCTGTTGTTGAGAGCTATCTTGAGTTCGTTAAGTTTGCCAGTATCTGGAAGGAAGGTTGTATTGAATCTTTGCAATACTGTTTCTCCAGTTGTCCATTGCTTCTTTAGCTTCAGTTTCATCTTGGTAACCACTAGGTGGTGATTTGAATCTATGTTAGCTCCTCTCCTGGTTTTCACGTCTCCCACTGATCTGAATTTTTTACTGATACAAATATGATCTATCTGGTTCGCCGTGACGTAGTCCGATGAGACCAAAGTAGCTTTATGTATGAGTTTGTGTGAGAATATTGTGCCGCCTATAACCAATTTGTTGAATGCACATAGAATTGCAAATCTTTTACCATTCCCGTCCCTTTCTCCTAGTTCATGTCGTCCCATGATATCTTCATAACCCTCGTTGTTCATCCCGACTTTGGCGTTTAGATCTCCCATCCGGATTGCTAGGTCTTTTCCTAAGTACTTCGCTGTGATCAACTGCAGCTTCTCATACAGTTGATCTTTATTGTCGTCATTTCTATCATTGGTGAGTGCATCACATTGGATAACATTCATTGTAATCCCCTTCTTTGTTTTGAATGATGCTTTGATGATCCTGGATCCATGAGATTCCCATCCTATAAGTGCTTTTCGTGCTTCTTTGGACGCCTCGAGATGAAAGCCGAGATTCTTCGCAAGACACAAGAGCGATGTCCCTTCTAACAACCAGAGCAACAATTTTTATAGGTACATGGAAGGTCCGGATAATGTGGGAGACCGAGAAGTCCAGTCAAATAGCAATAGAAATGAGGAAATACAAATTGGTGGTTCTCGGAATAGGTGAAACCTATTGAACTGAAGCTGGATAGAAAAGGATAGATTCGGGAGAGATGTTGCTTTACTCTGATCATGAAGAAAATGCTCTGCATACTCAGGAAGTTGTCTGAGTTTTTAAGGATGTTTTGATGATCCTGGATCCATGAGATTACCATCCTATAAGTGCTTTTCGTGATTTTCGGACAGTATTAAAGGAACTTCCTGTGTGCAGAGCATTTTCTTCATGATCAGAGTAAAGCAACATCTCTCCCGAATCTATCCTTTTCTATCCAGCTTCAGTTCAATAGGTTTCACCTATTCCGAGAACCACCAATTTGTATTTCCTCATTTCTATTGCTATTTGACTGGACTTCTCGGTCTCCCACATTATCCGGACCTTCCATGTACCTATAAAAATTGTTGCTCTGGTTGTTAGAAGGGACATCGCTCTTGTGTCTTGCGAAGAATCTCGGCTTTCATCTTGAGGCGTCATAATTCTTCCTTCAACTCCCAGGGCAAATTTTGAATGGTTCAAATTGTTTATTCTGGTTAGCGATTTTTTAGCAAGGTTGTTTTCTACGGGGTGGGGTTGCCAACCACATGCACGACCCTCCTCCTTTACCTGGGGCTTGAGACCAGCAGGAGCCCTAGAAGAGCTACAGGCGGAGATAACAGGTAAAGGAAAGTGAGTATACTTACTCTATAGTGAATAACATTTTTAAAAATCCAGAACTTATCTTGCTACTTGCGAACCTTCTGCTGACCACTAGTTTCATGTAATTAAATACAGCCTGATTACATGCATTCGAATGTATATAAACCATATAGATCCACACTTCATCATTTTCCTAACCTCGTATGGTACATTAACCAACAAGTAATCAAGTACTGAACATTTTGATGGCAAATGTTTAGGAGCGAACAACAGAGCGAACGGTAAAATACCTAAAAATAAATAACTGTATCGCCGTACACATTTCGAGTTTCTTTCAGCCTCAATAAAACTAGGGAAAGTTAGATGAACAAATTCAATAAAATTTGGAGATTTTGTAAATAAAGTCAGAACTTTCCAAAGCTCATTTATCAAGCGAAGGTACCATGAAATCAACAGTAATCAAAAGCTCTGAGAAACTCCTGTCTTTAATTTAAAATTTAAATCATGGTCTTATTTGTTTAGATAATGCTAGTGTAGTTGTTCATGATTAGTTTGGAGTGCTATATTGTAAGAGAAGAAATCAGGAAAAGTTATTAGCAAGTCAAGATATTTGATGTCTTTTCTGTGAATTAAAGGTTAACTAAGCACTTTATTTAAGGGAAATTCTACCACCTATTGTGATTGTTAAGCATAAAATTTATATATTATACGCATGACTTACACTTTGTAAAAGTATTTGCATCTGTCTCAGTCTTGAGGAAGTATCGGATAAACCTTTTGGGAGTAAAGAGCGTTCAATTCGTTTTTCTTGTTTTGTTATTTTCAAACGAGTAAAGTTTTCTTCTTCATAACTAAGAGATAGTCAGTAGTCAATAACACAGTACTTCTGTTTTTCTTTCATTTTTCTTCGTGTAAAACTTTCTTCGGAACCACATCCAAACTGAATAGGTAAAAATAGTTTATTAAATTAACATACATAAACTTCTTTAGGCAAATCTTCTGATTCATTTAAATCAGTGTCTTCTAAAATAAACCGAGCTGCTCTCAACTTGGCTCGTTCTATTGACGGTTTTTTCTTGCTTTCCTCTAATGGAATAAAAACAGAAATGATCAAAGTACCTACCGAAAAAGACTGGGGTCAAGTGTGGTGGTTGATAAACACCGTTGGGCTTTAAATCCTCAACCGTTACGGATTCACATACTGGTCTATTGACTATGTCCTTATTTAACAATACAGAAGGCAACTGAAAAAACGTACCACAAATCTACCAAGGTTGGGCCGTAACTCTGTTTCATCCATAATTAAAAAAATTCGTTGTGACTGTTACTACAGAAGTGCTTCTTGTTCAGTGAAGTGACCATACATTATGACAAAAACTGAAAAACAGAAAAATCTAAAAGTAAACTACAGTCACGAATTAGGAATAATTATTTCAAAACTCCAACTGGTGCTGCCGTAATCACGGATTTTAATAATCTTGGAAAGCTGACTGTCAACGCGTTACTGCGGGAAGACTCGATGTCTGTCACAAAATGTCGAAAGTAAAATCTCCGCTAATTCCATAACTCCCATGGGTAGATAAGCCTACAAATTTGGTAAAGAATCTTGTACACTCTGGAAAAAAATTCTACCTCCATTTGGGTAGCTAAAAATTATTAGCGGATCAATTTTATATAAAATCATTCGGAAGACATAGAAGAATATAGTTTGGTTATGCTATTCGCGCTACAAGTCAGACAAAAATATACTTCAGTCTACAGCCCAAGACTTAGGGTTTTGTATGGAATTTCGAGGAAAACAAATCAACATTCAACTTTTTATCAGCCCGATTAGTATAAATGATTCGTGGATTGGTTGAAGTTAGACATTAACACCGTTGGATGCCGGCTCAGTGGTCTAATGGTTAAGTGTTCGCGCGCGAAGCCAGTAGGTCTTGAGTTCGAATCCCGCGGGGGGCGGGATCGTGGATGCGCACTGGTGAGGAGTCCCATACTAGGACGAAACGGCCGTCCAATGCTTCCAGGTTTTCCATGGTGGTCTAGCTTCAATTGGCTTATGATTTCAACTTGTGAAATAAATGATTCTGTCAAATGGTAAAGATTTCTGTTTTACGTATGGAGATATTAATAATGGTCCTATAAATGCGATCACAAGGCATGAAGTCCTATAGTCGAACGTAAATAAACCTGGTACACCACGATCACATTCATTTAAAAATTCTTTCACTGTACAAACTATTCGTCAACTTCTGCATCTTTTGTATATATTATATACCTTTATTTTATGGTTAGTAAACATGCATATATACTATCGTATGCATATCCAATATATTTACGACGAGCTAACGTAAAGCAATTAATTTCTTTGAGCTCATTTCTTGATGTTAAGATACGGCCCCAGTTATTTTGTGCCATCTAATGAAGGTATTCTAGCTACTTGTCTACAGTGATCCCAGTGGATTTGCAAGTCAACATGTCTTGTGGACACCTGAATATATCTGTTACAGGCCAGTCGGTTAGTCATAACCTGAAACTATCACATTACAGGGCAGTTAATTGGTTGGCCATAATATGGAAGATTTTAAAATTAAAATAGAAAGGAAGATCAAGATAAGTAAATGAACCTGTTGAGGAACCAACCAATATAAATAAGCAAACAAAGAGAAAATGGCGAATAATGATACGACGGTAAGGTAGAGTTACTAATGAAAGTAATCAGTAGTGATGCATAAGTCGCAAGAAATGGTGAAGCCATACGAGTGCATAGCGTCTTTCCCCGTGAGTGCGTAGTCGAAAGCTATTCCAGGGAAAAGACGGTAAACCATGGGTACTTATATGGCTAAGTTTCCTTTTAACACTTCCCAGTGGCTAGACTGTAGTTACATCTGCTAGGATGGTGTTCCAGGTAAAGCCGATTCGTAATGAGGTGTGACCTTAAATGTGTTCTCTCTTTGATAAGCTGTTTATCGAAGATTGATTCGGCAAGCCAAAATAGTGAGGTCTAGATGGGATGATTTTATTGGGGTAACCTGGAGCACTCGATACTGTGTACACTATTATTAGGATCGTCTTATTCTCACGTAACCTAACGAGTACAATCCCGTAGTGAAGTCGGTCTTCATAGGCCTTTTCTACCAACCTTACGGCACACATTGCCACACGTCCGATTACTTGCCACAAGAGACCGATGTCAGTTTTATGAGAGCATAACAATGTCGTAGGTTCCAAGAAATGGGTGAATGTAAGCTCTAGATAGTGTCGAAAAGAGCTCGAATCAGAACTGTCATTCGGGTGGTTGGAATGATTATAAGCGCAATGGGAGCTCTTGCTCTACGGGCTTCTGTAACTAGTAGCAGTGGACCACTAATACCTTCAAGTAGTAATCAAATTATATTTAACGAGCAAGAAAGATATGCTAGTAAATTACAACGAAACATCGTCTTTCTTAGAAACAGGTCAAGCTTTCACCTGAAGGACTCCAGTGAAGTCACTTGAACAAACTCAACCGATAACAGACTTCAGAAGTTGACTACTCATAAGAGTAAGCTTGATATATATAACTTATTGGTAAGACAGATAGGGCGGGTTTATGAACCATTGCGTGCTAAAGAACACCGATTCTGAAGATTATTCGAATGATTTAAATCACTGCAGTGAAAAAAATAAGACTAAAGTATTTACCAAGTAAATGAGTTTATCTAACAGTAGTTAAGGTTATTTAGGGTAAAAGAATGATTATTCGTGGTTATTACAAACTAAATGTGTTATTGACCAAATCTTTGTATAACTAAGAGATATATGGACCGAAATGAACATAACCGAGCAAAGTACCATATCGTCACTTTAGGAGGAACGACCTACCAGAAACGAACTTCCCTCATTTTTTTTCACTACTTGACTAAACCCTTGTAAATTGATCTTTCTTAAAACCTCAATTTTTCATTTCCTCTCGTTGTTGTATGATGCTGGATCGTTAACAACAACTTCTTATTTAGTTAAACTCCGAATTATCGATTGAAGCGGTTGATCGTTGTTGCTCTTGGACTGCTCTTGGTATAGCTCAGCATTCTGTCAGATCATTTCAGAGAGAGATTCGGTCTCGTTTAGTCGGAAGTATTCTTCTCGATTTTCAGCTAGTCGTTTTGTTTATGATGGTGATTAAACGGTAGTTTTGACGTTGTAGTCGTAAATAAATCCACAAGATAAATAATTCTGTAAGCCTTAGATATTTTACTGGGCATGCCCTAGCATGGCACCACTACAGTGTACGCCGTGTAGCCAATACCACTGTCTGAAGGTGTAGCACTCATACTCATGATCGAAGTCTTTCATTTAACACACAGTCACCTGGACTTGAGTGCGCTTCGTTTCAGAATCCTGTACTATAACAAAACATCTCTTCAGTGCCTCAAAGTTTTTGGTGGTCGTCTTTGCTGGGTACGTGATTTCAACAAAATCTAGTATTCTACATAATCTCATGCTGAAAATAATTCTGTTGTTCCATCTGACGAGGTACTATTGAAAGTACTGTAGATCATATGGCAAACACCCAGGTGAGCTTGTACTTTTTCTCGCTGCAGGTAGGCCGTATTTGTCATGCTTTTTTTTATGAAGTGAATATGGTCCTCCCAGTAGACAGCTTTTAAGGACCAGTCAGCAATTATAGACGCGCTCAAGGTTTATCTCCTTTCACCTGTAGCGAATAGTAACTACACACAAGGACTCAATAAGACCTTTTCCACTTATTGTAAAGCGATATGCATATCTGACAATCCATTAGTCTTGACCATTATTATAAATTGCAACAATCAAACTCTAAATGCTCGATCTGAACACGTAAGGGGACCTAATAAAACAAGAGTTATTCAACTACTGCAAAATACCTGCTACTGTGATGCGTACAGAGTTTCTTGGAATCACTCGTATTTAATAATTATATCAAAACATATTTTGTTCGCAATTTACATGGTTGGAAATGCAGACCAGACTGTTCTGGAAATATAGACAATCTGGATTTCCATAAAACTGTTCTATTGATGGTCCAGTTAGAGGCTCAGGATTCACTATGAATCTTCGGCAATAACTTACTAGTTCATTGAATGTGCACAGTCGCTTGGCTGTGATAGATTCTTAGTAATCCATAGGCGAATATATAGGGTTTCAGTTTCATGCTCTCAGCCATTGAGATTCGGTGATATGGTGCAGGACGAAGCCACCCGTTCCATACCTGCATTCGATGGCATATCTCAAAGGGGCTGAAAAAGGGTACAAGAAAAAGAAAGGACGAGAAGCAGAGCAGACAATGTTCGTGACGGAATAGTTAGGGTATGACTACTCAGTTTAATTATTTTTTATTAGGGTATTTATTACGCAAGAGCATTCCAATAGGTTAAAGAAAATAATTGTAGACAAGTTATGAGTAAATAAACAACTAACAAATGAAGGTGGTTCAGAAGGAAGCTGAGAACATAGGGTTATGTGTAGTTATAAAATATAGTGCTGAAAACAATAATCTGATACACAAATGACTGCCTCCCACTTTTTGTGAAAGCTATTTGAGCCCTATTTTAGATTTTATAGGGTCTTGAGTATGCTTCCTTTTTAAGCGAACTGTCTAGTTTACTTGTAATAGGATTACTCGGTAGGAAGTGAAATCAATTCAACGTTCTAAACACGATTTAAAGAAGTTGTGGTGTTCGAAAGAACTAATGATTCTTTTCTACTTGTTGAATGCTCGATTTCGAATTCTAAATACAATACATTCATTCGTGCTTGTCTAGTACTTCTTGATTCAATTGCGTTATTTCCGGGACTCTTAGTTCGTAACGTAATTCAAATAATTCGAAATATTATAGAAGTATAATAATAATAAGTCACCATCAGTACCATTAGTTTGTGACATTTCACTAGGCCGTAAGGAGCCGTAATTAAACAAAATGTTCTGCCCTACAGACATAGGTGGACTGACGTTATCTCCTCACCATCATTTTTGCTGGTCAGTAGCGCCACGCTCCCTCCTTATACTGGAAGCGAGTAGGTGTGCTCCCAAGAAAGCAGGTTGCCCTGTAGTCATGATGTGGTGAAACACTGCTGGTTACATGCTGAAGTTTCGGCCATGTTCGAGGCAGTTTGTAATACTTACCGAGTATTGGCCGAAATATGGATCACTTATGAGCCGAAATGTGATTTGCTATAATCTACAATCAGTAAATGAAGCTTGAAAGGCAGATAATTTTGTACTTCCGTATATAAGAATACTTTTTCTTAAATTACCGAATCGATTATAATGTAGGTCTAACTGTGTCAGACATCATAATAAAGTGAGCGTCCTTATCTTGTATGATAATAATGACTATAATTTACCCTCAAATTACAATGTGTTTCACGAGATATGTTGATTTACAAACAAAATTATACAAATGCTACAGGATATACTGCAGTATGTCAGTCAGTTAAGTTTATATGTGACGAGACACTGGTTATAGAAACAGGAAGATAAATTCGCGTACAGAAGAATGTGAATAAAATTGATGAGAATCGAATGTTTGGTGTCAACGTTTGCGCGCTTTTTGGAGGTTGCGTCATGACGGACAACTTGTGGTCGAGAATTCATGAGAAGGAAGTCCAGAGATCTTCGCAACTAGAATAATTGTGATGAATACATGATCAGTCAGTTAAAAACGTCAGCTTAAACTCACTACTCTGTATTACTTGATAGTATTCTCAAAGTAACAGATTTGACGGGGTTCTTGTAAGCACAGCTACAAATCTTTCTGAACTATGGGAGATATTAGTGAAAGCCAAATGTTCTATACATATGTTTTCAGTGGTTTATTATCCCTGTTACATAGAATACACATGATGGTGCCTGAGACTCCTCAATTAGGACAAAACTTTATCAAATACCAATACCCTTTGTATCCAACACGTTACTAAAAATAAATATGGTACCATTCCGTCGTTACATTCGATTCCATAGCCTTTTTTATGTAATAGTCGCCTTTGTATTTGACTTCAGTTCTATCGATTGTTTGCGAAAACACTATTAGTTTACGGGCGACTAAAATAATCTAGATGCCTCATGTGATAAGAACAATAAATATTTTCTGCTTTGACATAAGGCGTTGTGTCACTCTAACGATCGACCTATGTAGCTAAAAATAGTCACTAACAATTACAAATAATCAGTGTGTATTGGCATCGGACCATAACCACACAATCCTCAAAGCTGAACACGAGACAACTAGGAAAATAGATATTCAATATTTAACGCGGAGAAATACCTAACGATGGAGAAGGAGGGAAGAAGGTATTGAATGAATTGGAGTTGATCGAATGGCATGGCTCGGCCATGCAGGCGTGAACCCTACTGAATGTTACCTTATGTCTTTGATTCATATTAAATATATTGTTCTATCTCTAGCCTAAGCTTGTTCTACATCATGTATTGGTGGTTGTTACGATATGATGAGTTGGTGTAGACGATGGTATGACTTCTAAGTAAGATCGTATAGATTAAGCAGTTATATCATGACAAGTCTACAATTTTAGGATAGGTCTATTATTGGCGCAGTACTAATATCATAGTAGACCATAATTCTATAAGTGTAGTCTGGGTGAGGTCATGCAATAACGAAAACTGTTTTGTGAGTTTTTCAGTACATTAAAATTTAGAATTGTCGGAATTTCCGGAGTGATACGTCATGGGATTTTTTCCGTTCAAACTTTCCGAAAATCGATAGATAGCAAAATATTTGCATAGTGATGCAGAAAATATTAATAGGTGGTGTGGGGTCAGTATTATAGATGTACATACGAGTATGACATCGTTGATTATGGACGAACAGCCACCACCTACGGACTATCAACCATGTGATTTTTCTTATCATCATGGATTTCCACTATGGAATCACTGTGAGTGACAGCTTATTATTTTATTGAATAATGTTCTGTAATGATATTCTCTATTTCGGGTCGCGAATCCTGGTTCTGATATAATGTGATTGGTTTTGTTAACGCAGCATCGCAATATACGTGTGAAAGGAAAAAATACTGTAAACCATCCAGTATATCAAATTCACGTTTCAAACAGGCGGGGAACGTGACTCCTGTTTCTAAAGGATAGTCTATTATGCGAATCAAGTAGTGAAAATCGAGGATACAGTCACTTGTTATGGCAAATACTGAAGTGTAAAACGATTATGCAAAAAAATGAAGCAGTACGCAACAACTCGAATGCCATAAAAAGCATATTGTAAATCATGAATTAGTAGCAAATATAACAAATCTACTTGTTGATATACTGAAACTGAAACGAACTATTTTGAAATTCAAACGACAGTAGAAGAAACTATACATTCGAAAGAAAATGTCACAGGAGAAAGATACTTAAATGGACTTTCTAACATGGTCGTGCCAGAACTTACAAAGTGGAGTCCATAATCAATACTGAATAAAAACGCACAAATAATATTTTTTGATATATACGATTGTCAGTTAAAGCAATCTCTGCTATTTTCAAACTATTGGACATGAGACGATCAAATAGTTAATAATAAGTGCTGACTGCTTGTCAAAAAGTAAACGGTGTTACCATCACATAAGAAAAAATATTCTATTTAAAAAAACGGACAGATCAATTTGCTTTCCTTCAAAAGTGAGCACTCAAACTCTGGGACAACAATCATATGAAAAATGAGGGAATCATGAAATTAATTACTCGTCAAAAACAACACTTCGGTCAAATAGTAGATAAGCAATCAAAACATACCTGAGCAACCGTAGGATATTTACACAATTTAGAAACCTTTGCATATGGAACATCTTAGTAAAAATGAATTGAAACAGCTGTTAAACACCCTAAAACATGAAGTTAACCAGCCACAATGAAAGCGTTATGTTGTCTTGACTCAAAGAAATCATTCATTATTTGGTAAGTGACTATTTTATATACCATAATAGAACTCAGTACATGTTATTCACCTGACTGAATAATCAATTGCAAGAATTTAATTTGTTATGCTATGTATCAGAATTATTTTCCAGTATGCTCTTTAGCTTTCCAATTTTTCCTCATTTTCACTTATAACAATCTTATGAGATGGATATTCTGATTATTCATCTAGGAATACTTTCAGGGTCCCTTCCAAACATATAAACATCTGGGTGGAATCCCATCTCCCGACACCATATATCTGTTGCTTTTAAAAAGTCCTTCTAGCTGCCTCAACTACAGCCTCTATGGTTTATCGTTCCAGATGAATGCCAGATGGCTAGGTTTAGCCATATAAAACACTGGTTGTTAGAATGAAACTGGGTGAATTGTATTATAATTAATTTCACCGATGCTGTGTGCTTATAACTCCTCTTTTTACTATTTTTTTTCTCATTATTTTTTAGCCCTCCTTTTATTTCATTTTGTCTTATTATTTAACATATTTTTACTCGAGGTGACTTCATACTACATCACTATGACTCACACAACCAACCAAATTACTGCCTGATTAAGGGACAACTGAGAAACGAGAAGAAAAGATTGAGAAATGAATTATAAAAATTGACGAAATTTCAGAAGATCAACAACCCATCAATAAGATCACTTGAGCCAAGTGACTGGATGAATTCTAATTATTTGGAACCTCAATCTAACAACTGGAACTTAGCGTAAGTAAGCATAGCTCCTCCAACGGATATTAAAGATGATTAGCAATGAACAGAGACCAATGTTTCAGAACAATGTACTTTACAATGCCCTTCTTGGACCAACTATGTCCGATGCATGTCTCATAGACTACCGTGGTTATCGTTATCGCATAATCAGCAACCATTCCATGTCTCTCTTGTTATCATCTCAGTTCCCCTTTCACTCTTTCAGTTCTTTCTTCATACACATTATCAGTTAAGTAAATTAATTATTTATTCCTGAAACAATGATCTGTTGTCACACGAGTTATCACTTAATTATTTTCACATTGTTACCAACAAACTTCCCACCTGGTAGTATGATAGATGCTGGTATCCAGAATCCCTACTTCCCCTGAGACAAACGCACACAGTCAACTGTAAGACATACGAATCATAAACAATTACCTCAGTGACTAGAGTTAGTACAGTCAAGTGGCTAGACTGCCATTCGTTGAACCTAACCAAATGCCTGTAGCTATACCAAGAACAGCGAAATGATCAGTTGTTTTATACAGAATTATGACAAAAATATTGGACATGTGGTTATGGAAATTTATAAACTGTTTTAATTAGCCACTTACTTTATGTTGTCATGATTAACAGCATCTGTTTCAATAGCGCAAATTTCAGTTTGATGTGATGTGTGTGTGTATGTTGATTAATTTGCCTGAATTTTAAATGCAAAGACAAGTGACACGTACTATTTATTCAATACACTGAGCAGTGTTGTTGCTTTTTGCCTGAATATTTAAAAAAATATGATAGCTCCTCATTGAAAAATCCACCATATCTCAAATTTCTCAACTACAAGTTGTTTGTATAAAGGCTTCTGTCGCTAGATAATGGTGAGACTATAAACCGTCGGGCGTTTACTCTTAAGCAGGACCACCATCAAAACTGACGAGTTTATGCAAGCCACCCAGCTAATAATATTATGCATGTGGCACAAAAATGCGACAAGTTTCTTCCTGATTGTCCACTTTAAAAAAATTTTATATTAGTAAAAAACCTTAACCATAATTTGTGGACTAACCAATCAGATTTACGATAATAGGTCTTAGATTTTGCCTAAATACAGACTTGGCATTATAGCTGATCTCAGTTCGTGATGAAAACCCTAAATCAAATTCTAAACCCTAATCATCAACTGTAAATCATAATCCTTATTCTTGAAACTGCTTTATAACCCTCACTTAGCCCAAGTAAGTTGTTAGACACTCTGAAGGTCATTTTAGCGTCGCTCAAATGTCGTCTCACAGACTTTTTTCCGTTTATTTTTTATCCTAAAATAGAGCACAGATGTCTCAACAAAGTGGATACTATAAAAGTAAAAGTCAAGTCAAGAATAGTTTTGACTTGAAGCCAAAAAGAACTTACCAGAAAATTCAGCGCAAAACGCACAGCGTTAATAATCCTCCTGGGAAAGGTCAGTTGAAAGAACAGACATACAGCAAAGTTGACAAACATCATAATGGATATCAACTTACACAAAATCTTAATCCAATACAAAAATCAGAAGAAAATCTGGTTAAAGATAATAAAGTGTCAAGGATTTTCTCAAGTGAAAGTTCACCAGTTCCTGACGTGTCATATTTAAGGAATTCTGTATCATTTAATTCTCAGTCTAACCGAAACATTCACTATGCATTTAAGGGATCCTCTAATGAGGTCAAGGTAAATCATTCAGGAGAAATCGGCTTTCAGTCCAATCATACAAAAACTAATGTGCTTTCACTTGTCGAACGCAACTTAGATATGGAAAAGCGTTTTGTTGATCAAAATTATAAGTTAAAAGAAAGTGGTGGCGTTTGCTTAGATCAATCATTTACTACAGAAATCCACCCTACTGAGGAATCAGACAATGATTATTCTAGTGATTTTAGTGACGAATGTTCTTCTATTTCATCTATCGTACCGTCCAAGACCGAGGAACTACTTTCTGTGGGCAGACCAAACAATCATAAAGAAATGACCGGAATTTGTGAGTCAGTTTTAACGACCCGGACTTCTGGTTTTACTATGCCAGTTAAGGTAATCGGCAGTACTAACGATGGGATGGACATGAAGGCTATAGACTTTGAACAGTCAAACAGACTACCAAGTCATCATTATATTTTTTCAAATGTAAAGCGTAGAGCAAAAGACTTATTGAAATTGGTTTGTCTATCTTTAAATGAGTTTACCAATGTATTCGAGTTGAAACCAATAGATGGTTATGGATTTTATATACTACATTCAAATAAATGTAAAAATTGGAATCATTGTTATGTTCAAACAAATGATGATGCATTTCATAGAGAAGTACAAACTGAACCAATTGATATCTCTCATGATGTATGGACTCAACAACCATCCGATGAGAATGGCGAATTTTGTGGAAGGGTTGGTAGCAACAGTAAGTTTTGGAATCTTCTTCACTTATCAACAAATAGATTTATATTTCAATTCAGTCGAACAAAGTATAAACTAGGTTGAAGAGATCAAACAATCGATTGTTATATATATCGCAACATTGGTTAAATTTAGTTGTCCATTAGTTTTGGACGTCTACGTCTAATTAAGGTCGGTCAACTCCCCAATAGTCTAACCAGACTTAATAACGGGCCCTTAAGATTCTGGGTTTTAGCTCAATAGTATTACATGGATGATATTTTTCACAAGTTTAAAGATGTATTTCTTTAAAGAGGGGAGAAAGAATGAGGCTTAGATCACAACGTTTAGCATTTTATTTCAAAATCTGAAAGTCGTAAACCCAGACTAAGGTTGTATAAGTTATTTCCACAATTCAATGAGAGCGCACGTGTGGTGTGTGCTACTAATGTCGACAAACGGAAGTGGTATGCATCATCAATCGAAAGCGAGGTGTCTGACTGCTGAAGGTTAAGAAGATTGAAGAAAAGAGAAAGAGAACAAAGGTTGACTGGTGTGGAAACGAAGGAACAATAAAATATGAGACAATTGATTGACGTTTTGCGAATGAAGTGTTTACTGTATGGCTCTCAGATATTACTAAGAGATTCTGTAGTCTGTGTTCAAATGCATTTGGTTGTACCAACTAGTGTCCTCGTTCACTGCACATGCTCGTACATCAGAAAATGAATTAAAATTTAGCAACTGTAGATTGTGAATGAGAGTGAGTTAAGTTTTTACTGATACCAAAGAATAAATCACGAAACATACTGAGTGATAACGAGGTGTTAGATGTGAACTTATTGGAGAAATTTATTTAACCTATAGATCATATCAAAGATAACATCAGGTCAGTATCTGTGTACTTTTCGTTGACACAGTGAGACTGATATCTCATTAATTTACCCAGTTGTGACTGTAAGAAAATATTTCTAGTTTTTTAACCACTTTCTGTGACTTTCCGTTGTTCTGGAAGATAACTTCATGAGTAGTTTATTACTTGGTTTTTCCATTGTTTTTTTCTACTTTATCATCTTCGCATAGCTCCCAGTGATGATAGATAATTTTTTGTGCTAAGACTTTTGAGTATTTCATCTTGGTTTTTGGCATGTGAAACGTTTTGATAAATCATTATTGCTATTCGTACCGTACTTAAATCATGATTGATAAAATACCACCAAAAAACGGTATAACTCTAGTTCAGGAGTAAAAGAAGGTCAAAAATAAACAGTTAGATGTTACAACGTAAAACCAGGCACATATATGCGTCTGTTCAAGTTGCCACACATCATTAGCATAACAATATGAACACCAAATTCATAGAAGTAGTCACTTCAATGGTAGTAATGTATAAAAGACTGTGTATAAGGATACAGCACAGGAGGAAAGAATTAAATGATAGAAAGAAAGACATAGTGCAGTTTCAATTTCACGGTTCAGGGAAAGAAAGATGCCATTGTGATCGATTCTAAGCTATGTCACACAGTCTCCAACCACTTTTACGATAGTCACGTGGACTTCAACCAAGTAGTCTGCATCTACCAACATGGCTTAGATTAGAGGCTAGTGACTTCAAGGACCGATGCCACGCTTTGGTTTTGCCGTCCCTAACCTTATTCCGTCTGTCTCCGACACTAGTTAGCATTGCGTGCCGTGGTAATCGGTGGTCGAGCATACATAATACGTGGCAAATCCATCTCAGTCGGTGAAGATTTACCATCATTCCCTAATACACTGTGTCTAACCTCACTATTACTTACGCGGTGATCCCAGCAGATGCGAGCAATATTTTTAAGACATCTGTGGTCAAATACTAGCACACTACGCGTATCTTCTACTCCTAATGGCTACGTTTCACACCCGTAAAGTAGAACAGAACGAACTGCTGCGTAGTATACTCATCCTTTAATTGATAGACAGACATCTCGCCTTTGTCATAAGTGACTTAAGTTGGCAAAAACCAAACGAGCTTTTTGAATCCGTGCTGAGATTTCGTCAGACACCAACCCATTAGGGCTGATTAGATTTCCAAGATAAGTGGAGTTGCCGGCGTGTTCGACTACTTCACTCTCTATCCCTAGGTCAGGCGCTGAAGCAGATCAGTCCTGATGCAACAACTTGCATTTAGAAGAGGAGAAACGCATTCCAAACATTCTGGGATTGCTGATCAGTGCTGTCAAAAGACTCTGGATTTTATCAGCGTCTTTGCCAAACAGGACTATGTCATCTGCGTATTCTAAGTCGATAAGTGGACCTCCTGAACGGAGATCGATTACTGAAAATTTAGACGACAAGAACGTTATTTCCAGCAGTAAGTCTACGATTAAATTGAGCAAGAATGGGGATAGTGGTCAGTCTTGTCAGACACCACTTAAGGTTGCGAGACCAGATGACAGTTCGCCATAAGCTCTGACTCGACTGGTAGTGTTCGAGTAAAGAGCCTTCACAAGGTTTATGTACTTCCGAGGTACGCCTTCCAATGACAGACACTACCACAGAACCTCTCGGTCTACAGAGTCAAATGCTGCTTTCAAGTCAAGAAAAACTATCATTGTAGGACGCTGATAAGCATGCCTGTATTCTAGAACCTGACGAATGATGGATATGTGGCCGATGCATTCACGATCAGGTCTGAAGCCAGCAGTTCACGAGTATTAGATAGGCTCCCGATAATTATTGAGGCTAGTATTTTTGATGCTATATAATCCCTCTGTGCCTATCACAGGATGATTTTGACCCCTTCTTATATAGTGAATCAACGAGTGATTGCGACCAGTAAGATGGGATCGCGTCCCTCTCTCAGATTTGAGCCAAAATATTATTCAGTCTAATCGCCAAAACTGGACCACCCTCTCTAAAGACCTCTGAATCCAATTCATCTGGACCAGCTGCTCTTCCTCGCTTCAGATTAGCTATAGCTTTTTGAACTCCAGTTATAGTCGGGGTGTTACTTCAATGTTCCATTCAAGCTGCTTGGGAATGGTGAGTAGATGTAAAGTAGCTGAAGGCCAGCTGAACTGTTCTCTGGAATGTTCCGCCCATCGTTCTAAACGTCTGGACTGAGAGCAGATGAGGGTGTCGTCTTTTTCCGAAATAGTCTGACTTACACTTGACTTATTAATTCCAGTTTCTTTTATTAGTCTGTAGATCTGTCTTGTATTACCTACAGCCGCCACCTTTTCCATCTCTATTTGCTTTCGTTGCCCACCACCGCTGATGGTCGTTCCTTTGACTGTTGATCAACCTAGATCTGATCTACTTTCGCTCTTCATCGTGTTCAGATCTTGATGGGATGAGTTTACGAGAATCCATTAGTGCAATAGACTTAGAAGAAATCCATTGGTGTTTTGTAACCCTTTGATTTAAATCACTGTCAGATGTCACTGCTATTTCCATGGCTGTTTGTATATCTTTCCAAGCAATATCTGAGTCAGCCTAGTTTTCAAAATTACCTAGATGTGACTTCAGTTGTTCCTGGAATTTACTTTTGGCTTCCTTGTAGTTGAGTTCAACTTTAATGAGTCTTAATGTGGTTTATCTGCGTCTAAAGAGGAGCAAACAAATGTGTGCTCGCATTTGAGCATGATCAGAGTCTAAACATATATTTCGGAACAAGTGGCAGTCTTCTATCGAGCCTCTCCAACGATGAATGATGGCAATATGGTCTCTGAGTTCATCGCTGGTTTGGTGCAGGGGTCACCATGTTAGGTGATGTGTCTTATTATGCTTGACACTAGTTCTTGCTAAAAATGAACGATCATCTGAGCACAGTTACAGTAGACAATCATCATTATTTGTTCGCTGAGCTGGTATACTAAAATACCCGACTAAATGTCTTTCTGTTTGGTTTAAGCTACCTACCTGGGCAATAAAGTCACCTTTTACGAGTACTATGTCCAAATATTTAGCTTTCTGGAGAAGTTCAGAATTCTTTCTGTAAAATTCATCTTTCACTTCATCCGGGCTGCAGTCAATGGGAGCGTAGGGAGAAACGACAAAAAGGCAACGACGTGTGTTCCTATCCTTCAGAGTTCTTACGGAACCGTTTAGCTGAACAGTACATGGGCGACTGTTAACGGGGATCCATTCTAATAGTGCTTGTTCTGCCCTCGTACTGAGTGCTACGCCTACACCTTCCCGTCCACAAGAACTAGCCATTGGGTCACCAAATAATCAGAGGGTATATCTCGTCGATTCTCCATTTTGCCGAGGTGAAGTCAAGTAAACAACCACACTAGGATCCTTTATGCGTGTTTTGGAGACAGAGCATGCATCAATGGTACGAGATTCTAGGGTTTTAGTCAAGGAGGCCTATTGACAGATTCGACATAGGTTGCGTACGTCGAAGGCCCCAATGTGTAGTTTGGAGTGAGGTCTCAGTAGACCTGGGACAGTGTTTGCGCACTAGAGTCGTTGGCTATGGTGATACTTGAGGAGGAAGCCAAAAGATGAAGTATAGGGTTGATAGTTGAGGTAGAAGTAATTATGGAAACTGAAGAGGGAAATTGATTATGAATACAGTGGTCTTGATTGCTGTTAAAGGTATGAGGGCAGTTATCACTTCTCGGTTGCCCAAACCTTGGAAGAATTCTTCTAGAGATGCCTGCAAAGGAAACCGGGTTGGAGTTGGTCTTAGTGACGTGAGAACGTGACCGCAGTGCCCAGGGGACAACTGCTTGAGGCAGGTCACACATGACATTTTTGTGGGTAATTTTCGTGTTAGCTCTGTACTTGTCGAGACCTTACCGCCGGAGACGGACAAGGCGAGGTGTGCATTTTTCGGGTCAACCTTTTCTAACCCCATCCCTCCTTGTGGGAAGACATCATCGCTTATATGCTGGTTGTCTGAAGGAAACAGCTTACTGCCGTCACACCTCTGTGGAGTTAGCACTACGACTTCGCCTTCGGACCTTGGGTTTGCTGCTTTTAGTCTTACCGTTCTTCAACCGACCTTTCTGGCATTGTTGGACGCTGAGGAATGATTGTTCCGGCCAGTATGGCCTGATCGCTTCATCACGACAGACAAGCCCAACCACCACGTCAAGGTAGCAGCAATGGTCGGGTATATTCGAAAGTCAGTCCTGATGATGGGTTTCAAAATAAAACTTTACCTCAGGTTTCGGTGGGTCTTTAAATAATGCCGTTTCAGAACGTGGACTTTACATCAATTGAGTCATAAAGACTTTTAAGTTGATTAAATTAAATGTTCTTATAGTCACAGTTTTCAAAATCAATATTCCTAATATCTTAGTACCTCATAGAGTTATTCAAAATAACGTTTTCGAATAATAGTTTTCCTGGGTCGAAACAATATGTTAGCGAGTTATTTGATCACAAAGTGAGGATTATTATTACCCTGTGTGAGGCATTCATTGTTTTTGTTAAAGCGAGTTATATTGATATTATATTTTTCCTATTACAAGGAATGGTCCATTAAGTCAACAAGAACACATATTCGAATACCATTTAACTTATTTCTATGAGGTCAGTTTTAAGGTGTATTAAGATTGTTTGGTAAGGTCAGATTAAAACGTTAATCAAAAATCGGAGTTGCTTATCAAATTATTTTTATATTTGTTACTGTTATCACAGTTTAGTTATGATAACAATATCTCATTTCATTATCCCGAAGTTATTTAGTTTCCTTGTGCAAACATTACCATGAACTTACATCTGTAAATCAGTCGAAAACAAAAATTACAATTTTTTTTAAAATTTAATAAATGCTTCATGAGCAGTGTAAACTGAGATATTCAGCCATTTACTAAACAGTTTACCCATACAAGCTTTTAATTGTAGAGCTACCGTACCACGTGTTATGATACTTTTTGACTTGCTTATATTAAAACTGCTAGTTAATATCCTTAGCCTTTACAATATTTGTAAAATAAAGATCAGTACGCGGATCTGCTATTCAGATATTAGGTCTCGTCAGTATATTTAATCTACTTACTGTTAAATATGCAATTAAAATATTCCTGAATTATACAAAACTTATTACTGGAATATTTTTTATGTTTTATTCCAAAAATACTTATTTAGATAATTCTCATATAAATGGTTCCTATAATTTATCTTATTCTAATGATTTCAATCATGTTTCATCCAAGACAATTCTACATGAATTAGCTAAAGAATTTTGCCTGGGAGTTAACACTTATAATACTACTGTAAATGATGAAGTTGAGCATGTTACTAATACTTTCTCAATAAACGAATTCAATACACCTGGAAATTCCACCTCCATGATGAATCCCAATCATCGATTACCTAATAGTCTATTAGAAAATCTTCAATTAATGTTGAATTTAATCAATGAAGAAACTTTAGCAAATTTGTCGTATTTATCCAAGGAGAGTATCACAGATCAAAATGATTTGCAGTCGACTGAAAATGATTTTGTAGAGATATTTTTTCAGTTGAAAGATGACTGCTTTTCAGTAGAATCGAAATTTGACCGTGGTTATAATGACATTCAAAATAAGGAGTTGCAAAATACGCCATCTAAAAATAACGTTACCACAGTTAATGCAAATGAAATAAGTAAACTTCAAAGCTTCTCCTACTTTTGGGAAAATTATGAATGTGTTGCGTGTGATTGTGCACCACAAAACCAAACAGTAATTTTAACCATTCATCGACCAGTTAGGGTGAGTATTTTTCTAATTTTATTTTAATATCAAATCCCCCTGTTCTGTCTTGTTCTTCTGTACCATTGAAATTTGTGTAAATTTAATTTGGTAACTTATTTATTCTTTGAAGAAGGTACGTACATGGTACAAAACATCAGAATTTCAATTTTCTACTCATTGAGATATAACAAACATATTATTTTATTATCGTAAATAAACATGATGTCATTCAATGAATAGAATATGCATTGGCTTAAGAATAACGGAACTCGTCATTTCACTGTAAGGGAATTATCATTAAAATACCAGGAACTGTTTTCAAGGTTCTGGATTTTGTAGAAATCCCCGGCAGGGCGAAAATTGTTAAAGGTTCTTAAGTAAGAAAGAAATATTTGTCCAGTGGCTGCCTGGTTTTAGAGCTTGTATTATCAACTGCCTTTATTTACCACCCACAAATATTCTATTGTCAAGAAAAGTTTTAGGACATGTCTTTTTATGATTATTTTAAACTGTCCTGTCATAATTTTACTTCAAAATCCTTAATTTTGTCTGAGATACACGGTTAGATTCTCCCAGATTGAAGTTCACAGTAGAAAATCGTCGATAGTGTGATAAAAGCAGTACTATGTAAGTATCGGTACTTTGAAAAGCTTTGATGTATGGCGAATAGAAATCACTTTAGTTTAATAATTTAGAAATTATTAAAGAATTTTGGATTTATATATTTCTGTTAGTCATGTTACATACAAGCCAAAAGGTTTCATCATTTAAGTTGATGTTATTTTGTAGCAACTAAGGTTGACAAACTTTTAAATAGTATTTCAACAAGTTATTATTTTGTGTTTCAGCTAGTAGGATAATAAAAGGCTATATTTTAACCTATTTGACAGTCCAGTAATTAAAAATTATCATTTTAAAAGAGCAAGAACAAAGATTCTAGCAGAATAGCATGAATTCATTTTATTTCGTAGGTTCTCGTCAGCTGCTTACAACCTGTGATATCTAAAAATCATAATTGCATAATGGATTTAAATTGCTTACAGAATATTGTAAGTATATACCTAATGTGAAAGAATATTCTACAACATTAATTGTGACAACAGTTCAAAAATGAGTTAGAAACAATTGATTACATAATGAATAAACATTGATAGGAATATAGTGATTAGAGTTTAGTTGGAAGATTATTAATTTGAAAGATAGTTGAAAAAATAAATTAGAATCAATGTAATAAATGCAACAGAAAAAAGGGGAAAAAAATAAAAAAAATTTTAAGGTTCAGTGAAGGAATATTTGTCACCAGGGTAAGGAAAGATTAACCACCGTCTCCTTTTGAATACATAGGTCAAGTTTTTGTCGCCTGATGGCAATGGCTTCAGCAAACTTCAGAAGACTGGAGTTTGGCTGCTTACTAATCACCCTAAAGGATTGTAAGGTATCTACCTGATGTCCTGTATCAAGGAGATGTTTGGTGATTGCACTGTTCAGAGTCTTTGTTTCCCTTGTCCTAAGACTTTTTGGAACATGTTCAAAGAATCTAAGATATGCTCTCCTTTCAGTTCAGCCGATGTAGCTGCTTTGGCAGGTACACGTAAATTTATAAATACAGTTGGCGGTAACATGAAAGGGTTGCTTGTCGATCTTTGATTGGGTTATTGAACATGTTGTTTTATAGAGAATTAAAAGTTTAGCAGCCGGATAAGTTCTGGCTAGCGCTGTATTCAGTCTCTTGTTGATAATTTGTGCGACGTCATCACCTTTAAAGTTAAGATTTATATATACTGGTTTTTTATTGACCATAGTTATTTCCGCTATGGACTCCAAGTGTCTATCCACCATAAAACTAAATGCTGGCAGTATTTTAACCACATTACACAGTTCACAATGTCACTTAATGTTGGTATAGATTGACTAGGGAGATCATAAGGTCTTGCCCCAAACAGAAATTAGCTACTATTAAATCTTCACAACATGGTTCGAAAACGACCACAACTAGAGAGAGGCATTCCTCTCATACGTTCTTCAAAAAACCGAACATCTTTTTCCTTGCACTTCAACATATTTTCTCGTTTATGGTAAAATTACTCTAATTTCATCTCCTTCTCGTCCCCTTTTTGTTACAAAATGTAGCAACTTGTACAAGTCCAGTCGTTGGACGTTTATGTCTTTATGAGTGTTTTTTAATCAAGGTGCTTGATGCTGATATTTTAATATGCAGTCTGTACATTTTATAATATAGCACAACATTTTGTAAGGATTAAGTTCAGTTGAAGTGTTGGATAAACAGGAAAACAGATCAGTTTTGGTTATATGTACAACTGTGCAAAATCTACATATAAAAGCACCTGAATGCATTTTACTGCTGGCTATCCACGAGATACAGGACATTTGTTCTATCAATTTTGAAATTCATGATTTCGAGGTGCATATCACAGCAAATGTCTCTATCCCCTTCAAAAATAGAACAGGTTACCCGCCGTTTGAAACACCAGAGTGTCACAGGTCAGACTGTGGATTTATAATAACCACCCTTTATTTAAGAAATACTAGTTATTCTATAAACAATTGTATTTTCGAAGTATATTA